TCCATGTATTCCAAAACAACCCCATAAATATTTACATTATAACCCACATTACATTACAAACCCATAATATTTACTTCTTCATTCTCCATAAATATTTACATTTCATTAATATGAAAAATAAATTAAAAAAAAGTCATAGGTCCCACCGAGATTTGAACTCGGATCGCTGGATTCAGAGTCCAGAGTGCTAACCATTACACCATGGGACCGTACATCAAACGGGGGTAAAATACAAATAACTTTCGGAATTTCATTTCTTTAAAAAGAAGTATCGTTGTTTATGTATTTTTATTTTAGTATTATCAAAAAATCAGATCTCATATCATTTTTTAAAAAAATTTATATAATATAACATTGTTCAATTAAGTTTAAAAAGATATCCTCTACACTTCTGTATTATTAGATTTGCATTTTTAAATTTCGTTCTACCCTCTATTGTTTTATTTTTTTAACAACTAAATATTTATAAATAAATCAACATGAAGCCAAATCATATTCTTCCAAAAATCGTTTCAGTTTTATTCAATATGCTTTTGAACAATTAAAGAACAAACTAACAGTGATGTATGAATCAAAACCCAAAATTGGAATATTTCTATCAACGATGTAAATGTTATTTTTTTTTTATAAGTAAAAAGGTTTTTAAAATTAGAATGGAAGTATATTTAAAACATTTTTGAAATTATATTTAGATAATTAAGATAAGAAGTTTTGGTTTAATTTGATGTTAATAATAAGTATTATTAATTAATAATTACTGGGGACGAGCCGTACTGTGAAGTTCTAAACATACCAAATAGTTGAGAACACTTGTAAGAATAGACTATTAAAAAAAAAAAATTACGTATAGGTTATATTCCGCTACTCCCCTCGGAAAGTAAGAGAAATAATTCTACAATGAGAGGATTACCAAAGTTAAATGTTTGAAACAAAAAAACAAAATACAAATTATTAAATATCTAACAGTAATAAGAAGTAATATTCATTTTCTTCTAATCAGTTTAATAAACAAATGCATAGGTACAAACGTGCAACACTTCGATGTACCCCATTAGAAGACTAAACCTTAAGCAAAGCCGACCAATCGCCAATCCTGATTACTATTAATTAAATAGGCCGTTTGCTGTAAGTCGTTGGCAAAAATTTGCTGACTACCTTCCTACAAACAGGTTCGTTGGTGAAGATTTGCCTAGTTTCCACAATGCCTAGTTGGCTTAAGACTGAAGTCCTTATTCATCAGAAACTAAAAAATAAAATATGAAGATTCACAGATCAACAGTGCCATGATAAAGAAGAAGACTATGAACATCTGGACTGTAAAATATATAAAATTTGCATAGAAAATATATTTATATCACATTTCCAAAATTACATTACATATTTGTTTTTTAACTGTTCGAATAAATATTTTGATTAACGTTCGCTAATTTATATTCAGTAAAAATGTAAAATTTTCATTATACGAATTTGTTTATTTTTTTACTGCAAATTAATTATCAAAAATATAAGCAAATTTTAATTTATTTCTCCTAAAAAAAAAAAAAAAAAAAAATGAAAATGGAGTTATGTTTTTCCCTATACTCTTCATATTAAGGATGCTGGGAAAATATCAATATTAGTATTTGACTATCGAAAATCGATACTTAAAAAAAATTAAACAAACAAAAAATTAAAAATGAAAATTTCTACAAGGAAAGTCGCCTCATTGGTGAGAATATTGAAATGGGAGATTTTTTAAAGGAAAAACATTTTAAAGAATATATATACTTCGCCTCTATCTGCAGCTATAATTTATCTTTTAATACTGTCAAATTTTGACAGTAACACCAGCCAATCTGTAATGGTATTATGATATTTCTATTGATGTAGTGAAGTTCTACTAAAATAGTTCTATTTGGAAACTTTTTATTTCTCTTACAGTTTTAAATTTTATTTTTAAAACTAAAATAAGTTCTTGTTCGTGGTACAGACCCCGTTTTATCAAATTATTAACATCCGGCTGAAATTTCGTAAATTTCTTCATCCTATCGTAACCTACAAATATTTTATTTACAAAAATTCTCGGAATTGGGGCATTTTCAATCTTTGAAACAAACTTTTTCTATTTAATTAGATACTATAAATTCGTAAATAACCATTTGTTTTCCAATTTAGTCGTAAGATAACTTGAACACAAAGTCGAGAAAAAAGGTGGCCTTGAAAAATATTAAGCCGTCTGGCGTGACCTGCATCCCAAATTAGTTAAACGGCTCTAATTTTTGAAGGTCACGTTTTTTTTCTTTACTTTGTGCTCAAGTTATCTTTCGATTAAAGTGGAAACCAAATTGATATTTACGAGTTTCTAGTACCTAATTAAATGGACAATATTTGCCGATCGTCAGATTGAAAATTTTCGTAAATAAAATGTTTGTAGATTACGATGAGATGAAGCTATTTACGAAGTTTCAGTTAATAATTTGATAAAAAAGGAGCCTGCACCACGTTCTATACAATATAAATCATATTTCCTCACACGCATACTTAATACTTACTCATACTTTTTAAAAAGTCTATTAAGTCATAACATTTAATAAAATGAGAAATGAAAATTACCATAGGAATTTATTGCAATTAACAGGAGAATTCAGCGGAGAATTATAAACCTACGTGAAAAAGATATGAAGTACAATTGATCAATCTAGCGAAACATTAAATTAAACAGTGATGACTGCAAATAGGAAAAGGCATCTAAGATATTAATTAATTTTTGTTGTTTTACAAGAAAACCAAAAGGCAATAAATTACTCATCTTCCAATTTAATGCCTATCTTGTATTATGTAACCGGGAAACACAGTAACAAATGAGGAACTTATGAGAAAATGAAAAAAGCAGATATAGGACAGGTCAAGATACATCTTGAATTTGACAGAAAGTAATCCTTTTGAGTTAGAAGATAAAAATAAAACAAATTCATCGTATAACGTAGATATTATTGTCAAATATTAAATTTACAACAGATGAAAGAGAGTCTCATTGTTTAAAATATATAGAAGTTTGAGCAGTGTATAAAAGAGCATATCAATAGCTTTAAGAGAAGAAGAAAGAGTGTTTTGTTTTTGGTTTGAAAGGCAATCGTTTGAAGTGACAGAAAAAAAGCAGTGCCGCTGGAGACACCTAGCAAAGAAAGAATTTTTTAAAAGTATTAAGCAAACATAGCTAACTGATGACTTCAAGTCTAAAGCCTTAAATAATAATATTACAATTTAAAATTGCCCGGAAATTTGACGCTAATAGAACCAAAGGATATCTAAAAGTCAGCTATTCCTCTTCACAGGATCATGAAGTAAATTAAATAAATAAAATCAGACTTCACAATCCCCTCCATTTACGTCTGGAACATTTAAAGGTCACTTCAGCGCCAGTTACGTTTCTTCATCTTATTCTTCTTCATCTTATTCGTAAAGATTCTTTCATCGTCCGGCCCAATGTAAGCTTATAGTCCGTGGTACAGACCCCTTTTTATTGAATTATAAACATCCGCCTGAAATTTTGCAAATAGTTTCATCACATCGTAACCTACAACTATTTTATTTACGAAAACTCTTGGAATTCGGGCGTCTTCAATCTGGAGATCGGCAAACTTTGTTTATTTAATTAGGTAATAGAAACTCGTATATAGCAATTTTCTTTCAACTTTAATCGTAAGATCGAGAAAAAAAGGTGGCCTTAAAAATGTTAGCCGTGTGACCTATATAACTTCTTTATTTTGACAATTTGGGGTTGTAGGTCACGCCAAATGGCTCAATATTTTTGAAGGCCACATTTTTTTCCGACTTTGTTATCATATTATCTTACAATTCAAATAGAAAACAAATGAATGTTTATGAGTTTTTAGTGCATAATTAAATAAACAAAGTATGTCGATCTCCAGAACGCCCCAATTTCGAGAATGTTCGTAAATAAAATATTTGTAGGTTACAATAGGATGAAGCTATTTACGAAGTTTTAGGTGGATGTTAATAATTCGATACAAAGAGGTCTGTACCACGAACTACTACTTTACAACAGCAGATAAAATAATTATTTCCAAAATATTACAAAATTCGACTGTTCGAATGTTTCACCCATTGTTTAAAACATGCCAGTGAGTTGGAAACAAGTTTTCGGTCTCCACAAATTCAACACTAAATGTAATAACTTGCCCACGCCTGGATGTTAGTGAACCTACAATGCACTGCGGACAGTTGTAATTGCATAGCCACCAGGCGCAAATTGAGTTGTAAAGCCTGGAATTGAGTGTCAGACCCAGGAGGGTTGGAAACCTAACAATGTTATGTTTGTTAATCTAAACCTTGAGATTCACATTCAACGGATGAACTAATTTCAACAGTCTTGTATGTAACTAAAACTTTTACAATTGTTCAAAACAAAACTATCTTATATCAATAAAAAAAAAAATTGTTTCCAGGCTATGTTACGTGATTCGGAAATTTATAATTAGCCTAAATACAACGAAAGGAGTAAGATTTATATATAGACATTCAAATATTGCATTATCTACTGGATAAACCGATCTTTTATTCAATATATTATGTAAGCTCACTGCATCCGTCTACATTACTATCAGAAGGGCGGAGACCGATAACATTTTCGCTCGAAAAAACAAAAAACGAAGCACTGTATGTACAACGGTTAAGTTAATAAAAAGTACAAACTTAGTCTTGGTATCAGTTTTAATACAATCTAGCGTTCCAACAGAAATATGAAAGTTTTTAAACTTATAAAGAAATTATAATTAAAAAGATATAAACATTGTTTTGCAACACATGTGGGACTGATCGGAAATGATGCCGGATTCAGGATATACAAAATATTTTTTTCAGCACTTCATTTAGAAAATAAAGATGAAAATACTCATGATTTTTAAATTTCAGGTGGATAAACTTTACAGTAACTAGAAGGTAAATGCAAGTATATACACTGCCCTAAAACTAAGTTATTAAAATGAAGGGTGTTGGTTTTGTCATGGATTTTATTAATCAACTTCCTCAATGGTGGGTCCATCATCAGTGTTGCTGGTAGAATGGCGATCGGGCGCTACCCCGAGGTTCCCAGGTCTTGAAGCGCCGCTCCCCATCAACTTGGTTGCTATCGGCTTACAAACCGCCTCTGCTTCGTTCAGCTTCTTCTCGTAGTCTTCTTTGGTAGCTGATTTGTTCGCTTCCAACCACATTACCGTCTCGTTGCACTTCCTAGAGACAGTTTTCAATTCCTCTTCGGTGACTAGACCGTTCTTAGCTGCTTCTTCCATGGACGTCTTCATTCCGTAACAGTATGCTTCTAAATTGTTCCTACCAGATATGGATTCTCTCGCCTTATCATCCTCTGTTTTGTACTTTTCAGCTTCACGAATCATGCGATCAATATCTTTCTTGGACAGTCTACCTTTATCGTTAGTTATTGTTATAGCATTACTTTTACCAGTAGATTTTTCGAGTGCGGTAACATTTAAAATACCGTTAGCATCGACATCGAAAGTGACCTCGATCTGTGGGATTCCACGAGGAGCTGGTGGAAATCCTTTTAATTCAAATATTCCGAGAAGATTATTGTCTTTCGTCATTGCCCTTTCCCCTTCAAAAACTTGTATTAATACACCAGGTTGATTGTCTGAATAAGTACTGAAAATCTGAGAATGCTTAGTCGGTATTGTTGAATTTCTACCAATAAGGTTCGTCATAACTCCTCCGGCCGTTTCTATACCCAACGAAAGTGGTGTAACATCTAGCAGAAGGACGTCCTTAACTTCGTCAGAAGTGTCGCCAACAATTATAGCTGCTTGTACAGCTGCGCCGTAGGCTACTGCTTCATCAGGATTTATAGATTTGTTAAGGTCTTTTCCACTGAAAAACTCCATTAGCATACTTTGTATCTTTGGTATTCTGGTCGAACCGCCAACCAGAACAACCTCGTCGATCCTTTCTTTTGGTACCTTAGAATCACGTATGGCCTTTTCGATCGGGCCTGTGGTAGATCTGAACAAGTCACTATTAAGTTCTTCGAACTTGGCTCTCGAGATAGTGGTAAATAGATCTATGCCATCCAGGAGTGAGTCGATCTCGATGTTGGCCTGGGTTGCCGCGGATAGCGTGCGCTTTGCCCTTTCACAGGCTGTCTGAAGTCTCCTTATCGCCCGTTTATTTTCTCCAATATCTTTCTTATGCTTCCTTCTGAAATCTTCGATGAAGAATTGTACCATTCTATTGTCGAAGTCTTCTCCCCCAAGATGAGTATCTCCCGCAGTAGCTTTGACTTCGAAAACACCATCATCGATTGTAAGGATAGATACGTCAAATGTCCCACCGCCCAAATCGAAAATCAGAACGTTTACTTCACCAGATTTCTGAAGCATATAAAAATTAATTAATGGTATCGGGTTTAAACTTTAGTGGTAGGTAATATAACAAAGTTTTGGTTTACCTTGCAGATGTCAAATCCTTACGTAATAAAACAAATAATTTATACACAAAACTTCAAACAAACAGAATTTATAAATAGATTTAATCTTTTTAGAAACGAAAAAATTACCTGAATCTAATGTTATTGAAATCACTTTATTTGTTGAAGTTGGACGATAAAACAGATATATTTAATTAAATTCGGAAAGAATTCAAGAAAATAAAATATTTTTTTTTGGTGACATAAAGAATGTAGAAAAAAAAGGTAGAGGTTTCATCTGGACCAGCTATTTAAGGAGAGTCATTAGTTTATGAAGGGTAACAAATGATTAATTTTGAATGAAGATGATTTGATGAAGAGAATAAAAAAAGGAAAAATAAAGCAGGAAACCCAAGATGCACAGTTAATTAAATACTATATATTAAGTATTAAAAAAAAAAAAATACAAGACTAGTAAATAATTCATTAAAAGTGTCTATGAGTGAAGTTTCATGAAATGATCAATGAAGAAAGCTAAAGACCAACTGGAGCAACTGGCTTCTTATTTATTTAAACAAGAATATTTTGTTATGAACAAAGTGGTATTTTTTTTAAAGTGAAAGATGAAATTTTAATATTTAAAATCCAAACAATTTATTATTTTTTTAAACTATTGCTTTTACCCAGGATTAGATAATACAAAAAATTCTAAAAAGGATCATTATTTTGTAGCAACTTTAGATTGTATACTTATAACGATAAATGGGAAAGGCATTAAAAATAATGTTAAATAAAGTAAATAAATATTCATAAATTTTGAGAATGAATAAGAGAGAAAAAATTTAAATGTACACACAAAAATATAGTGTGCACTGGTGAACATTAACGCGTATTTAAATAATTTTAGAGACGGTGATAAAATATTAATGTTCTTATAATTCTTTGTAGTATTCGACTCAGATTATGAACTATGCAATTTCAAGAAAATAAGAAAAACTTTAATCAATTTCTTATCTCAAATAGGTAACCCCACCTTTTATTTTATAATCAGTTTAAGCTTAAAATTTCAGAAAGATTTTTACCTTCATTGATCTTTGATAAACGTTCTTTCTTTTTTTGAATATGCTAATACCATTATATTATCTGTTTAAAAATACATAACAATCATGCATTAATGCAGCAACTTAATTGATTTTTTTGAGTACTTAGTAAACTTATTGAGTACACTTGGAAACATGCAAAAAATTAGAAAAATCTTTTACTCACTCTTTTGTCAAGTCCATAAGCAACGGCTGCTGCAGTAGGTTCATTGATTATTCTGAGCACATTGAGACCAGCAATTGCACCAGCATCTTTTGTTGCTTGCCTCTGGGAGTCATTAAAATATGCAGGGACAGTTACTACAGCATTGTTGACCTTTCTTCCTAAATAAGATTCAGCAGTTTCTCTCATTTTCATTAGCACCATCGATGATATTTCTTCTGGAAAGAATTCCTTCTTCTCCCCTTTGTATTGAACAACTATTACAGGTTTTCCATCTTTACTGCTTATGGAAAAGGGCCATAACTTCTTGTCTGACTGAACTGAAGGGTCATCAAACCTCCGCCCGATCAAACGTTTAGCATCTGTAAAAGTTTTATATGTTTCTAAATGCAAATCAGTATTAACAGAAAAATAAATTGTTTTAAAATGATTCCACAAATAATTGCTTATTAACAGTAATTGTTTATATCAATAAGAAATAATATTTTATATTAACCACCAATAAATAAATAAACTTAACACAAAAGATAAATAAAAAATGCCTTATAGGAATAGTTTTCTTTTCTAACTCCTAACTTTTATGAAGAGGAGATGAAAAACTTATGTATATATAGAAGTTATAGTTGATAATGTTGTTTTGCATTAATTTAAAATATATAATTGTCATCTTGAGAAACTCATAATTCATGTAATATCAGTAATGAAAATAACTTTTATTTAATGATGATTAATTATCCATATTTCAAACTCGTGTACTAAACTAGACAGAGGTAATATTTATAAACAGAAGGAGCAAGTGGCACGTGGATCTTTGGAGTGTAAGCCCTTTCATCAAGATGCAAGACTCACATATATCCTGTATCCGGAATGAATGCATCTTGTGTCTTGCATCTTTGGTGTATAAGATCCCTAAAAGGCTGCGAGTACAATTTTATTTAAAGTTCAGTTTGAGCTTTTCTGGTCAATCTTGATATTGCACATATTCAGAAATACAGACTAAAAACGTTATTTCAAATGTTACAACTTTTCCTTAAAAATGTAAATTAAAAGTTGCATGGAAAATATAAATCATAAAATAAATAATTTTAGTTTTGGTACCTACAGGCTTTTTCAAGACGGCTGTTGATATATTTCCTAATATTTTTTTAATATCATTGATATATCATTGATATACAAACAAATAATTTAATTAATCCAAAATTTGATTAAGTATGTTCTTAAATATGACTTAATGAAATACTTATATTGTTTAGTATTTTTTAATGATTTATTTATCCATATGAAAACAAATTAAATTTGGCAGTAAAACATTAAAAAATGAAGATGATGATGACTTCATAATATTAGGGCAAAGCTATGGAAAAAAATAGACTTAATAAACACAAAACTGATCAAAAATTAGGTTTTGTAATAAAATATATTTAAAAAAAAAAGGTTGAAAATAAAACCTTAAAGTCTTTAGTACAGAAATGAGAGGAAATACTGCTCAACATCTAAAGAAATTTGAGTAATTCAGGAATTCGAAAAATTGAGGCAACAGTCAAATATCCAAAGGATATAAATTTTTTTTTACTATGTATTGTTTTGTTTTAAGTTCATATTACTGTATAATATTATTTAAGCAGTAACAGAGAATAAGTTAGGGACCCAAAAAAATGTCTAAATTGAGTTATGTTTTCTGTGATCATCCCACGAGGATCGATACACTGCAGAGAAGTTGGTAACTTACAACTTTCCTCTATAACTCGGAAAAAAATAGAGCTTGAAGTTACCAACTACTTCACAGAACATAGAATACTTTAGTATTATAGGCATCAAACCTCTGGTGGGGGGCTCCTGAATTATAATTCATATTTTTATTTTATCTTATTAAATGAAGTTTTAATAAATCAGTTATTATATATTATAATAAAATATAATATATTTATTATAATATATATATATATATATATATATATATATATATATATATATATATATATATATTTATATATATATATATATATATATATATATATATATATATATATATATATATATATATTTAAAGTCTAGTCTTTGGGCTCATTTTTGTTGCTTACAATTAATATAAAAATTTCATTAATAAAAAAAAAGTGATCCAAGACTATAATTCAGGAAAACAATTACCAAATCCATTTTGATCACATTGTAAAGTGTTTATGAAATTTCAGCAAATAAAAAATAACTAATGGAAACATAAGAAAAAACTTTTCAAATCTAGAAGAAACTAAAAGATTTTTATAATTGATTATGATCACATGATTTATATTTTTATTTTTTAGAACACCTTTATGAGAAATTTAAAATAATGAAGGTCTACGGTGGTCGTGAGAGGGGAGGGGAAAGGGGTCTAGTCTGGGAAGACCAACGCGTTTATACTTTTAATCCCAGACTTAACCATTTGAATGAAATTTGAAGAAGAAGAACAATAACAAATAACATAGAAATAAAAATTTATATTATCTTCAAATATATCTAAATCAATATTTATTTTAATATATATTTTATAAGACTTTATTCTCACTTTGTTTAACTTTCTTTTCAGATGTTTACATGTCTACAACTGTGGTTAATAATCATGTCTGTAAAGCAATAGCTCTAAAAAAGTATCACAAAAAGATATCAGAACAGTTATGAGGATTTTTTTTCTTTTTTTCCTGTTGATAATACAGACCTTGTATATCTTTTGCTGCCTTAAGAAGCCTATTCTATCTCTAGCTATATGGGGCTATTTCTTTCCAATTATCTGCATGCCAATCTGATACATCTTTGTTGATTTGATCTATCCATCTACTTTTTGGCCTTCCACATGGTCGCTTGCGTACCATTGAAGCATTCATTGTCATGTAGAGGCTTCCAGTGGATTGTTCTAAGCTGCATGCGCCACCCATCTTAACCTTTGTGCCTTCAAATCATTAGATATTCATTGACCCCTTTCTATAAGCAGGTCTTTTCTGGTTCCCAAATCTTATTATTACAAATCAAAAGAGAATGTTAATTATTTTAAATAAACTATTGTAAAGGTACTTTATAGGGAGTCATTTGGAAAATTTGGTATATAAGCTCTGTTAGACTACATCAATGGGGATAAGATCTCCCTTGTATTAAAACTCAATGATATAAAGGGTCACTTTCGATCATCCGATTTTAGTGAAAAAGTTGCATTCTAGATATAAATGAATTATGTAAAATACATAATTTCAGTTATGTACTACTTGTCATTTATGAGCTAGACTGTTCATACACATACAGATATAAACAAGAGGAAACACAGAGATCAGTTTTCAAGACATGGTTATTTGGACTCAAGGGACCTCAAACAGTGTATTTCCAAAGAAAACTTGGATTCGAAAATTTTCATGTTCTAAATACTTTCTCTTACTAGATATTTCACATGTAGATATATAGGTAAGTGAAACTAAAAATACAATGAATGTGATTTATTTGGTTTTTGAAAGTCATAAGAAAGTTTAACATTTTTTAAAATTAGGAATTTTCACATTTATGGTTTTGTCATTGAACCAATGATATATTGTCATCTCAATAATATTTAATTTTGTGATTTTTTTTTCATCTGTTTGCGATTGTATTCTTAATTAAGAAGCATAAACATGTGTAATTTAGTTTCATCAACACCCAAACCATTTATTTAGTGAAATATATGTATTCATTTAAAGTTTTTCTACAAATTAATACTCTTAAATCTCTCAAGAAACAGCTTATATCTATATTTATTATTTTAAATTATTAGTTATTGTTATAAAGTATTTATTGTTGAAAGGTAGAGAAGTTGAATAATATTGACAAGAGTAAGGTAATAAATAAGTTTTAAAAATGACTATGTTTGGTAAAAAGGAAAAATAGATAATAAAGTTTATGATTTTAAATTTTGATGATAATTTCCAACAGAAATTTTTAATGTAAATAAATAAAAAGAATTTTTTTTCTTGAAAATGGTCAATCTTGTCCAAAATTTTGAAAAATGATACATGAATAAATAGAGGTTGTCTTTGGAATTCTTGATTTTTTTTTTTTTAAACTCCTGAAACTTATTATATAGAAAAGAAAATATTTATTGTAATATTTTAAATTATAAACTCCTTTAAAAAATGTAGTTGTTTGTTATAGGACCAAATAAGTATATATATTTAGAAAGTATGTACCTATGTAGGACTTGGGCATGAATAAAGATTATGATATGAAAGAAAATAGGTTATTAATAAAAACCGAACTTTAATGATTCTCTCAAAAAACTAATAAAAGAATAAAAGATGAATTACATACCATACACTGTATTGGCAGGGTTCATAGCAGCCTGGTTTTTTGCAGCATCTCCAACAAGCCTCTCTGTGTCTGTGAAAGCAACATAACTTGGCGTAACTCGATTCCCTTGATCATTAGCTATAATCTCAACCCGTCCATTTTGGAAGAACCCCACACATGAATAGGTAGTACCAAGATCAATTCCAACTGCTGGACCTTTTGTTCGAGGCTTCGCCATTGTTTCACTAAAAAAATAAATATGGTAATAAGGATAACCGTCTGTTGAAAATCATTTTATGGAATACTGACATGAAGATCTGATGTGATTTTGAAAACATACTTTGGAAGTTTGAACTATGATAACACATATGAGTGACTTCATATTAAAGACATACATCTGTCATTTATAAACAATTGAGAAGAAGCCAATTTTTGAAACTGCTTCAATTTAAATCAATTCTTCTTCTTCTTCTTCTCTCACTATCTCCTGTGTACTGCTAAGCATGGAGTAGCTGCTTCTGACCATCTTGTCCAACGGTCCCTGTTCTGTGCAAGCCTTCTCATCTCCGACATGGTGCTTCCTCTCGCTGTGCCAATTCTCTCAATCAGTTCTGCATACATAACCTTTGGCCTGCCTTGAGGTTGCCTTCCTCCCAGTCTTGCTTCTAGAAGCCACCTGGCCTTACGGTCATCTCCCATTCTATTAACATGCCCGTACCACTTCAACTGACTTTCTTCAATCGTCTCTAGGACAGATCTAACTCCTAGTTCATCTCGCACCCTTTCATTCCTTATTCGATCTCGCCTGGTTTTTCCCAATATTTTCTGTAGGAATCTCATTTCTGCAGATACAATCTTAGTGGCATGGTGGTCCAAGAGTGTCCAGCTCTCCGATCAGTACAGTAGCACTGGGAGAAAAACTGATTTGAATAACAGAATTTTCACTTTTCTGCTCAACTTCTGCTTTCCAATGAGTGTCATGGATAAATCAATTCTAATGATTTATTTTCATGATTCAACTTCAAAATTCTTAAATAAACCACCAGAAACAGCTTGCGTTAAAGGTATAATATAAAAATTGAATTTTTCTTTCATTTTCTGAAAATGACTGATGTCCATCTTTGATATGAAGTCACTTATATGTTAATATGTGATATATCTATAAGATTTATAAAACCACATCATGATATATGTTATATCAAAAGGGTTCTTAACAACTTTTAAGGAATATAATATTTATGAATTATATGAAATTGTTATTATTTTTTTTTTTCTAGATACACCTACTACATCTCTGGTATACCGGAAGGGGAGAAAGTTGTTCTAAACGTACAACCAAACCTATCAGTGGAAAAGTCAAAATTCATTGCATGGAACCGTCACAAAATAAATTTTAATCCGCCCAAGTCAGATTCTAACTGGCATGGTTAAACTCAAACATGCTAAAGTTTACGCTTTAACATACTCTGTCATCACGACATCACCTGTTATTACTTTTTTTTTTTTTTTTTTTTTGTCCTCCTCTTCCTCGCCTGTAAGGCTATACAAGGTTTTCCCGTGCCAGGAAGTATGGGCAGGGATTTAAAAGACTCCCCCGGCACCGGGACGCGAACTCGTGACCATATTTTATCATTGTCTCATATATCAGGTTACCGGGCAACGGCAGTGCTTTGCACACACGTTATGCCGTTCAGGCACACCGCCCACATCTGTTATAACTTATAAATCTTCATATAGGAGTAGAACAGTAATAACAGTTTATCAGCTAATAGGTGGTATCAGACTCAACTGCCAGGTTCACCCCAACCAACTACATTATTAGATTTCCACCAGGTAGCAACAGACTTATTGAATGGTATAATCAACATTAGCTCAAATATGGATTTTATAAATATGTTCAAGATAAAAAGTAAAATTTTGAAGTAAGCCATAAGATAAAAACACTGCAGTAACCAAAATATTATTACTATTACTATTACTTTAAAATAATTACTGAAGTTTGAATTAAAAGGATGTGGAATAAAATTCATGATATTTTGAGTACCAGTATTTAATCCAGCAGGAAATAACTGACTAATTATATGCCTAAAGATGGATTTAATATCACTTATAAGAAAGCAAGTTATGGTTTATTATTATAAAATACAGAATCCAAAGCAGTCTATTTATGCAGCAAATAAAAGCTAAATAATGTAAGTTAATATAATTGGGCATTCTTCTAGCTTACAAAATGAAATAAAGAATTCAAAATGAATGCCTTCTTCTGCTGAAACAATACTACAAGCATAAGTGTAACAATACAACATTTCTTTCTAATCTGCATATCAAAGTGCATTAACTTACTGTGTTAATTGTCTCCTAAGGAAGAGGAAAGAATTTGATTTGATTTAGTTAAAAAAAAGCACAACCCATGAGGGTCTTGGGGGTTCAGTACAATGTGAGGAAGTACTGTTACAAGGCTGTGCAGGTTTATTATAGGCTGTACAAGGTTGTGCAGAGAGGTGATAGGGCCGATATCAACCACCAGGTATTCTCTATTAATTATTTATTTTATTAAGAGTACCCACTTTATAGAGGTTGGGTGTGGCACAGGAGTGTCTTCTGGCCCCAGAGTCAATCCACAGCTGATAAAAATTACTAGTCATCAACTGGATTCGCATCTGGTACCATGAACTCTGGAAGTCAGTACTCACCCACTGAGCTACTTCGCTCCCCTTCATTTAGTTAACAGTTACTAAGTTAAATATAATATTAGTTATTGGCTCATGAATTGAACTATGATATATTAATAGAACCAGTTGATAATGTAATAAATATATTATTTTAAGAGGGGGGGGGGACAAAGATTATCCAAAATGCCCAATAAATAACAATCAAAAATTAATTTGATAATTAATAAACTGACCATAAAGCAAATACACAAGTGTGAAAATAAATTTATTAGATTCAATACATATCACTCAATAAAACTAAATAATGAATAATAATAATAAAATTGTGCACAGTTACAGTCTAAAAAAAATCTTTAAGTAGGTATAACACTGTTATAGAGACAATTTCAGAAAAAAAGGTAAAAAATATTAATCACTTGCTAATGAAAAAAATCGTGAAATATACCAGAAACTAGGAAAAATACTAGTATAAATAAAAATATTTACAAGCTTGTAAATACTTATAATTAGAGACCAGATCATCGTGCAATAAAAATATGAAAAACATGCAGTAAAAACCTCAAAATGTGCAAAACTGTGCAGTAAAAACCCAAAATATGTAAAATTGCCCAATTTACAGCTGAAAACGTCTAAAAATCAACTATTTTATTTCATTTATAATATTAATACATCGAAATCCTATCAAACTTTATTTTAAGCTTCTGAATTAAAATGTTGTCACACACAAAAAAAAAATTAAAATGCAACATTGAACATTGAAATCCATATCACAATCAACCAACGACCGACAGCAAAACACAACCTCATACCACAATAAATTACAATTAACCTAAATCTTGAAGAAAGAAAAATTTCAATAAAAATAAGGACTAACATAAATAATAGAAAATTTAAAGATAATTCACAAAAAAATAAAATAAAATACAAAAAGGTCTCAATAGTTAACCGACAAATAATTAAATAAACTTGTTTAAGTTTTCCTTGAATTGGTTAATTGACTGGCACATACAAGGAATGATGTAATGTACAGGAACTTAAAAAGATTAAAGATATGAAGGATAAGTATATATTATAAATACCAAACAATTGATTTTAGATATTTAATTTTAATTGAAAATAATATATGAACATAAATACTTATAAATTGTGCACACTATAATGAAAACCTTATTTTTTAATTGAATTAAAACTTACAATGTTATAAATTTTGGAATTAGTTTCTGGAAAATTATTTTTTCTATCATTTAATACATCTTTTAATTTAGAAAAATAGGGTTCAACATGAACTAATGTAAGGGAACTTATTTTGTAACAAGCACTGCTGCTTCTTTAGCAGCATTAACATTTATACCATTAATGCAGTCATTATATTTTTTTGTTAGAGCGTCGTAATCTATATTTTTTCTATTACACAGTAAAATTTTTAAAATATATTTTTCCTATTAAACAATTTATTTTTTTAAGATTTTCTCCTACAGTTTCTATAATTTCAAGATTCTAGCTGAGTTAATTATTACGAAAAATTTGACAAATGTGATTTTATGAACGTCAAATCGCATATTATTGATGCCATTATTCTCTATATTCCCATCAAATCTGCTGATAGTCACTCTTGAAGATGCAGTTCTAGTGCAGAAGATCTGAAGAAAAAAAAACTTTGTTTTTTTGTAAAGTTAAATTCGAATTTTTGCGTCAAGAATCATTTACCTTCCTCAAATTTTATTTCTTAAATTATAAGTTCAATATGGACAATATAGTAAAATAAAAAAGTAACTATTTACACACACACGTATATTTATATTTATAAATCATTTAATCTAGCACAAAATGTACAAAAATGTACAATTTAATACAATATAAAATTTAAATGTGTTATTCTACAAGTCCTGAAACGGATAGATATTCGGGTCCAAGGTTTTTATACTCAAGCGAATAAAATGTGCAATAACATAAAAATCCGGTCTCTACTTATAATACTGGTAGGCCACAAGTGGGGCATACCAGAAACCACTGAGCATATCCTTGTAGCCTGCACCAACTATGAGGCTCTGAGGACCAAATTGATGAGAGAGACAGGGCTCTACATTTTAACAGAAAGCGAATTTCCTCAACTGATGTCTAAGTGAAAGTACCCACACTTTAAAAGCTTTATGTGTGGGTGAAAAGAAGCTATGGATCAACCTACTTCTCCTTGGGTAGAACCAAACAGGACAGGAGAATAAGCAAGTAAAGAAGATGTAGGAAGAAGAAATTGAAAAATGATTCAAAGCAGGCTGTGTGCAATTAAAGATTAACAAAGCAGCAGTGATTTGTTATGCAGGAATGTGTATCAAGTCAGAGTTGCAAACTCCCATATTGCCTTAAAGGCAGGGTAGGGAGGAAAATAAAATAAAATAATGTAAAAGAAGACTAGCTTCATGAAATTAAGGTTAAACATTTTTTTAATTCTTCACTCGCCTACAATATACACACGATTTTTTGATAAATTTATCTTGTAGTTTTAATATATTAGAACATTATGCCTCTAATATATGTATTGTTGAGCTCTATTCGCAGGTATATTAAACTATTTTTTACTTATACCAGTATTTTTCCTACCTACAATATGTGTGCATAACCTATATAAGTTTATAAAGTAGAGGGAGAAATTCTAGTCAACTAATACACTTCACCACTTGTATATTGGGATTAAATTAGGTATCACAGGCACATATACAAGATACATTTACATATATCCATCATTTGTTGTTTTACATGCATGAGTATGAAAAATTAATCAACTTTTTAAAATGGACATTAAAAAAATTAGGTAAGCTACTTGAAGACTGATCAGATTTAGACCAAAACAACTAGGCCTACAGAATATAAGAATCTGCAGTTTAACTAACCAAGTTATTTTAGATAGGTTCATACTATATAAAACAGTTACTTCATATGTATAGAAATAGAATAATTTTCCATAACCCAATACATTATATCGTCACACCAGTCAAAGTGACATAAGATCTATCAAACACAAGCAATATATACTACTGTAAAAACTTTGATCAAGTAATTTTACTGACATTTTTCGAACTGGAATCTCTAGACTCAATAATGTTAAAATTTACACTTTAATACTCTCACAACCTCACTGAATGCTAAACTAAAAAAATTATTATTACTTTTCAAGAAATAGAGTTCAATGAATAGTTCAGAAGGCTGTCTACTGCAGTCTAATTGAAAGTACCCATACCTTCTGACTACTCCTTTCCTTCACTCACAGACTTTATATCTATTTACCTGTGCTAACAAAAATGCAAATTTTCATTCATCTATGATTTATTATCACACGACTGTTTATTTACAATCATAAAAATTGTCTCCCAACTGTATCTAAGTCAAGAGATCAGCCCCACTCTTGCTCTATGCTCAGTTTAGCTAGATCATTTAATCTTGTATTACTCATCTTATTCCTCAGTAGAAATGAGAAAACTACCCCCTCCATAATTTGAATCCTCCCTTTGAATTAGTTTTTTTTAAATTTTTCTTGTACTGATTGGTACAGAGCAATTTACATCTTTGAATTGTGGGGTTGTTATTTACTCCACTGGATTCAGAGAAAAAATACACAATTTTGGAAATATATCAATGGTAAATGATACTTTCTCATGCCTTTTGATATACAAAATATGTTATTTTACATTAAAATATTTTTAGTTTAACATTTCTACATAAAATGAGAATAATTTTGATAGTACTTATTATTTCATGCAAATGATTTAACGAATGGACTATTTTCTTTTTTATTCTAATATGTTAATGCCCACTAAAAATGACCAAACAATGAATAACATATAGTGATCGCAAGAGTAAAGTTTTTACACCATTAACTAAAACTGGAGTGGCAAAAAAATATTGAAAAATTATAAATATTTATAAGTAGATATCGATATGAATATGAATAGTAAATTAAATACAGAATAAATTCAAAGAATTGCAATAGCAATCCAATTTATTCTACTCCAAGTTTATTAGATCAAAGTAAACAAAACTGAGTTACTGTCTTCAAGAGATTAATTCATATATAATATTACAATATTTAAACCTTACATTCCACAGACGTTAGTCAGATAATGTGGATGAGATGGTTGTCAATGTTGTGGATTTGATGCATGCTATTGGGGTCAGTGTTTGTTCTCAATCATCCCTTTTCGACTTCCAGTGTTATGTTCATGATGAGAGCTGTTCATGCCACTGATCTGAAAAATAAATTACAATTGCTTATTATGTTAAGATTTTTAATCAAAGTTTGAACAAGAACAAAACCAAATTAAATTGATCGTGCACATCAATGAGTACAATATAACTAGCTACAAACTAGGTTTATTTCTTTATAAATAGTGAATAAGAAACTAACTTAAAGCAAAAGACAGAGAGAAGAGGCAACTAATACTGAAGGAAGTCAATAATGAATATCATAAATGTATATATTATTGAATGCTTAATAAGATCTGTGATGAATGTGATTTAAACAGGATGCGGAAGATCAAAAAGTAAATAGAATTGGAGATGAAAGAAGTGGGCTAGTTCCTTAACTCTGTGTAGAGCTCAGAGATGGTATTGTTTCGCCAATTTTAGAGATGGATCTGATGCCGATGATGAACTCAGCGTAGAGTTTAAGAAGTTGTCTAGTTTGAATATGTGTACTGGTATAGTTTGAATATCAAGCCAGAAGTTTGTCATTTTGTATTTTGTCAAACTAAAATAATTACATATTTTTAATTGGTATGATTTAGTTAATACAAACGTGAAACGATATGAAAACAAAACTAAAATTGTGTTCAGTACACTTTATTATAGACATTATAGACACTTAATTAAAAAAAAAAATCCCTCTAATACCTTTTGGAACTGTTTTTCAATTTCATAATTCTCTATTTAATAACTCCGTTTGCTATACTCGCTTTGGCGGTAAGTACATATACTTTTTATTACTCAAGGTATAAAAAAAAATAATATATAATTATTGAACTTTATGAAAATGTAGAAATGTTATTTAAAATAATAAAAATGTAGATATATATGCATAATTACCTATTTTTATTTAATAAAAAAAAATGTAAATAAAATATTCTAGAATAGTAATAGGCTGCCTAATCCGTGAGCCAAAATTGACCTACTTTAGTAAAAAATCTACCTACGAACGTAATCAAAGTACGTTTAGTAGTCCAGCGACGGCTTTTTGTCAATTATTTTATAATAGTTATAAATTATTTGATTATTACATTTAACGATGTATATATATATTTTTTTATCGGTATGGTGCGTATTTTATTAAATGGAGAAGCCAAATATTAATCGTAAATGTACGCGAATTTTAATTGGTTTGATCAGATTTTTTTTTTTTGGTTTCAATGAATGTAGGAATAAGAAAGAAAATGATGGGGGATGCAGGCAACATATTTCCATAAACAGGTAGATGAATCAATTTTATTGCTGTAACATTAAAAATATCTATTGATTATCTTTTGTAAGAAGTTTTATATCAGATACTACTGAAGCATATAAGCAGACTTCGGGTCATTCTTTATATACCTATTCAATGGAAAATTCTTAATATCTTCATATTAAATTTGAAACATAGACTTTAAGTCACGGTAAAGAAATAAGGATAAAACATCAACAAAAAGGAATAATATTATTACTTATAACATTTTTTCATTTATCAATAAGAAGAATAACAAGTAAATTATTCTTTCATATAATATTGAACAAAGAAAATTAATTTTTAATACATTTATATCATATAACATTAATTCATTTCAACAAATGTTTTTAGCTGCGTTATGCAAAAATGATTTTATCGAAAATTTTATACAGTACAATATTTTTTCATTGCTGAACCACCGAACTGGTTACACCTGGTTCACAATCACTTTGGTCACACTTGTTCATAAGTGCCGAATGCATCAGTATTTATCGAAAACTGTTTTCGGCGTTTCTTGAACAAGTGTGACCAAAGTGATTGTGAACCATGCGTAATCCGTGTAGTCCTGTTCTAAATAATTACCGCAAATAATAAAAACTGAAAGTTTGGAATTTTTGCAGGTGAAAGTTTAATTTTCGAGTCTCAACCCATGGTTCACAAAGAAATATTCACCTCTATAAAAGCTGCATAACTTAACCCATTAGACACAAAGGAAGAGAAAAAATAGCTAGTATAACCCAAAATTGCACTTAACACACTATTCACAGGTGCCAGGTGGATTTCAAAACATTGAAAATAACAAAAAACAACTATAAATTTGCAAGGGGGGGGGAGTCTATGGAGGAGGGGAGAGGGGACTTTGAGGCTGAAGCTCCCCCAAAATTGTAAAATATAACCATGTTTTATGGAAAAAGAATATTAAAACATTATCTCTTAAAGTATTTACAATTATGTGTAATTACATTTAAAAGGACTTTAGGAATCACTTAAACACCATTTCATATAGGTAGTTAGTTAGTTTCTTTCTTTTTTTCCAAAGTAATTTTCGTTATTTTTGTGAAAAAAAAGCTTACGGGCTGAAGCCCCCCTCAAAATAAAATCCTGGATCCACTTGTGTAAATTTGTACTTGTTAATGAATGCAATTCAGATGTCTTCAATGCCTTATGCCATTCGTAACCCATGCTTCCTTCCTTAGTTTATCAAGAATTTTAAATCCTATGGATAAAAACGGTAACTGCCTATAGTTTAATAGGAAATATTGAACTTATTTATTTATTGGAATAAATACAGTTATCATTGATGATCTTGGTTTACATCAGTTTACACGTCTATATAAAGATCAAACCCACTTCAGAAGAAATGGTAACAATTTCTACTCATTTAGTATTTATAATCGAAGATTGAAATTCTATTTAGAATAGGAGAATTGGTACACTTCTGTGTGTACTACTAATAATTAATTGATAATTTTGGGTGAAAAAAATTAAAGTAACAGATAATAAAATATTATCTTCAGTTCATTTTGAAATCAATATATTGGTAATTCACAACAACTAACATAACATTAGTATTTTAAGTCAACTAAATTTTTAATTGGTATATGCTTGCCTGAAATTTGTGTATCATTAATTGGTTAAAGAAATGTGGGATTAATTTAAACCACCTTAAGTTACAATAAATCTTCTAGTTATATATTTTGTTAGTCATTACCTCACACAAATCAATAAAAAATGAATAAAATCAGTTAAAAATAATTATAAAGTAAATTGATCATCAATGTTAAATATTAGGATACAATCAGAAAATTCCAAACACAAGGCCTTCAGTTTCTAAAATAAATAATCAATGATTTCGGCAATTCAGGCATCATCAGGACTCAAACCCCAATACCAAACATATCAAACAAAATATGTCACATCAATAATTAAAATATACATATTGACTAGATATAGAAACTCATTCCAGTATGGCCATATTGGCCTAAAATAAATGGTGTCAAGATACCACCTTAGCAACCTCAAGTTGAAGCAGAGCCAGTTCGTTACCAGTCTGGGTCTATGGAAAATCATTTCATGGTAACCCCATGGAATAAATCTTGACCTTTACCACTCTCTGGTTAAAATAAGTTTGTTTTCTGCAGGATAACCACCTTGTATGGTAGAAATGGCCAAATAGGGATAAAAAAAATAAATGTACATCACTTCAAGACACCTAAACACATACTCTTACTCTATAATAAGTAGTTTTAGAGTGAAATACTGCCTGTAGATGATTTGTTATTTAAGACAGCAGAGCTAGGTTTGGTTGTATTTTGCCTACTTATGATTTTCTGATTCTATGTATTGGATTTTCTTTTCTGATAGTGGCTGAATTGTTGAAACAGAATGGTTAGTTCTTTTTCAGTAGTTTTGAGCTCTTATTCACTTTGTGTTTTAAATCTTTCATTTATTAGTTTAAGACATTTGTTGAGTTTTTGTTCTTTTATATAACTAAGGTAAATATATAAAATAAAAGTAGAATGTTTTCTTCAATGATGTCCAAAATTATAGAATTCTTGTAGTTTTTTTAAACAATCCCTCAAATCATAATGACGATATTGATTTTCTCCATTTAAAGGTATAAAAATTGATCAAATTTAAATGCAATTACATATTAAATTTGACTATTATAGAACAGAGGTTATTCTAAATTTTTTTTCTTAATAATAAAAGGTTTTTGGTTGAAAAAAAATGAAAAATGTTTTTATTTATTACAAAATTCAACTTCGACATTGCTATAAGATCCAAACGTGCCTTGAGAAAAGCTCTCCTTGCACTTAAAGAAGCAATAAAGGAAGTCATCCTACCACTGAAGCCAATAAAAAATATTTGAGAATAGGAGGAGCAGGTGCAGCGACCAGTTTATTTGAATTTGATATACAAATTTGACACCGTGTAAAGTTTTATATACCTGGGTTTGGAAGTGAATGCTCAATATAACATCTCCGCGGAAATGTACAGGAGGATCGCAGCAGCTAACCAAGCTACTTTGGTCTAACAAAGCATTTTAGGAGCAGGTACCTCTTCAACAAGAAAAACATCAGCCTGTATAAGACTTACATATAGGTCAGTAAGCCTTCACCAGAACTGATGAGATAAGATTACTCGTATTCAAAAGAAAAATATTGAGAACTCTGCCCAGTTCAAATGTACCTGGAGAAATAGGTAGAATACAGAGCTGGCGAAGACTTTAGAGAAGGCCCAGACTGAAGTGTGATATTAATAATAGCTATACATTCCCTCTAGCACTCTAATCTGTTACCATATTTCGCTGTGTAAGGCATGCGTATTTAAAATTTATATTTGAGGCCAGAGTTGCTGACAGTAGTAAGATGTTAGCTCAGCAACCTTAAGTTGTAAGCAGTGATGATTCGAATACGATCTGGTCAGGTTGAAATTTATTTCATGGTGGACCAATGGAACAGCTTCATATACTATAACCTATCCTAAGGTGGAGTATATAAGTACTTAAAGCCCAAATAATGAACAAATAAATTTTCCTTTTCTTTTTTAAAATAAATTTTTAGTTTTATTAAGATTCAATATTTTAAATACATTTTTTAAGTACATCATTCAAAATTAATGCTTTTCTTTTAGTCCTTACAAGAATTTTCCTATTATTAATACAAAGTTAAATAGATAAATAATATGTTATTTGACCCAGGAACAATCCATATCAAATCACTTGGACATCATACCCACCTCCTCACATTTGGTTAAAACTTGGCAAAA